TACATGGTTAAGAGATCATTGTGCATTTTTTCATGTGAATTCACCATAATAAAATAGCCCGCTAGATTCTCAATAATATCATTTGATAGACATTAAAACAATGAATAATTAGAATAGTCAGACCCAGGTGAGCTGAAAACTATAGCAAGTAATTATGAAACACCAGTTTTCATCTCAAATATATATTAAATAGCACAACATAAGGGATTTAAAATATAGGGAGATGGAAGCGTATGACCAATGCAATACTATTTTCATATTGTCTTATCTGTATGTTTTTATTTATCTTGAATTTCCTTCTTCCATGCATCTTCTTTCCCTGTGTCTAACTTGCAAAATATTTGTTTCAAGAAATTTTCCAGCAATCACCTATGATTTAAAATTGCCAACCCCTTAAGCCATATACCCGGTAGCGATAAACATTGTCCCATTTTGCGTGGTCTACACGAAAACACATAAGGCCAAAAAAAAAAAATGTTTTGTTGCCCTCAGCGACCGACCGAAAAATATAAAATATCGGGTCGCTTTTTTTTTTTTTTTTTTTTTTTTTTTAATAGGCCCAAAAGTGAGTAAGTAAAAACTCACCATTTTAAAGAAGTCAAAAAGTGTTTTCTCTAAAAATTAACGATCCCGGATGTTATGTTTAGTAATTGCCAAAAACACTGTCTCTAGCTACTACTTCTAAAGAACTGATTTATTCAATCCCAAATAACAATAAGTAAACAAGGTTACATAATTTGCATAAAGAGGACTTCCTGTGTGTATAGGGTCAATTGCCATATGTTCATAATTAACATGCTTTGTTGATTACGTTAATTTGTTTGATCCCCAGGGTTCCCGGAGGGATAAGTGGCGACTTTGAACCTCGGGTTGATCTGTATTTTTCTGACATGTTCCGAATACTATTAAGTCTGAAGAGCAAACACGTCTTTTGCATTTCAGGCCATTTTGACATTTGCGATTCGAATGATAGTTGTTGCACAATATTAAAAATATCGCCGCACCAAGTATTTTCTTAATTGAATAAAAACATTATTGACAAAAACAATACGTTTGTTGTGACGGCTTTTGCACGTTGTTTTAGCCACAGTCCCTTACAGTCCCTCAACACCTTGAGGGACTGTGTTGAGGGACTGTGTTTTAGCGCTGTCACTATTCGCACTTCCGGTTTTGTCATCGTGTGTACGTACCAGTGGCGGATCTAGGGGGAGGGTCGGGGACCCCCCCCGTTAAAAAATGTATTCAATTTGTTTTTGTATAATATAAAAAAAATCATTAACTTAGTCTGGCGATTTTAAAGTTTGGACCCCCCCATAAAAAAACCTGTATCCGCCCCTGCGTACATGTGTATAGCGGTAGCGAATATGGCATAACAGCAAAAGCTGGATCAACCACAGGGAGCCCAGGAACTATGATCAACTGTACGCACTCGAGATGCGGTATATTCTGCTGTACTTTCAGTATGGCCGCAGGATACACCGCATCACTCGTGAAAATAACTTCCACACGCAACGAAAGCCACGGGGAGGGTGTGGGGTTCTGTCATAATACTTGATTGTGCTCGTTTGCCTGGGAGAAATACTAAAACCGATTAATAACATACAGTATTGAACATGACCAACACGGATCAGGTCGATCGATGACTATACTTCCAGGTTTTTGTCATTTACTTATTCTCGACAGATGCGAGATATCGAACTTGAAAATGCACTGTACATTTTGCGTCGCCGTCTACCAGGAAAACGGTCTGCGTCAACTTGAAAATGCAATGTGCGTCGTCGTCTACTAGAAAAAAATGCGTCTGCGTCAACTTGAAATTAAAAATGTAAAGTCTCCTAGGGGGACTCGTTTTGCGTCGACAACTTAAAAGTGCAAGTTGCGTCGCCTACTAGGGGGACTCGTTTGCTTCGTCAACTTGGAAAATGAAATGTCGTCACCTAGAAATTAAAGAATCGCGTCTGCGACAAATATGCTGCAGAGTGTTAGTGACTTCGACAAATCATCACCCGTTAAATCGCGACTACTACATCTCGCTTTGCGACAACTGCTAATTATTTAGCGACGACTGTGAATAACTTTTGCGTTGATTGCTACTACTACAATTGGCAAACGTTGACATTGGAAATCGCATTTTTGTTGAAGAAGCAGCATAATTTTGAAGCTATATGTTTTACCATGCAATTTATATTGACGCAGCAGGGTCGCGTACGGCTTTCCATACGTATCTGATATGCGTTTTCGTTATAATTTCAATTTCTCTAGACCCCATCGCAGAAAATTCTAGAAATCGAAGAAGCTGACACCATACAGGACGTTCTGGCAATTTTATTTCCATCTGAAGATCCAAGTGATGTCTGGAGGACTCTGGAAGTTCGAGAAGGTTTGTCAGCTAGTCCTGGCGGTAGATTTTCTCCTGGTGATGAAGAAATAATCTGGAAAAATAGAACAAGTAAGTTATGTGTTATACGATTCTAGTGTTCTACTGGTATTATAAGTTTTGACAGAATTTATTTTTTACCATAACACACACTATTTTTTATTCTGCAGCATCTGAAATGCAGGAACAAGACATACCTCGAATCAATAACCAGAAAGCAGAGAGTGATTGTAAAACACCAGTTGATCAAATCGTCGACTCATACGAAGAACTGCATATAGTAGAAGGGTTGAATACGCACATATGGCCTGACTGTTTCATGGTTCAACGATGCAGTGACACGTCTGGGTGTTGTCCAACCGGGCATATCTGTCAGTTGAAAGCAGGCTCCACAACTATGGTGGAAAAGATGGTAAGTGTCATTGAAACCCACTGAGGGTGCAAGTATTTTTTCCTTCATTATTCCTCAGCTCTCAGGAGATTCCATAATATTTTATATTTAAAACCAACCTTTATTTCACAGTCACTCTAGTTTTTACTTTTCTAAAATTATCTTACTGATCAAAAGACTTTTCACTCCCATCATGCAATCTCCCATAGTACTTCCGCAGACACAGCGGCGATCGCCAACATATCTACAAATAACCTCGCTCTCAGGAGCTGAGGAATAAATGTGCGACATTTGAATTTCCCACAATCAAATGTGTTCCTCTAATGGAAATCACGAGTACGAGATTTGACCTTAGCACGACGTGCACTAATAACCACCGGTGACTCATTCTATACCTTCCAATCACCAAAGAAATAACATACAAGTATTTAAACCCTAGAAACATGTCAGTTTGTACTCGTTGGTATGCGCAAAAGTGAAAGTCGCTATCTGTGTTGACACGAGACCAATATCTCGCGCATGCTTGGCGCGACGACCACCGCCTTTTTTAAGTTCACGATCTTGACATGAAAACTATGACATATTGTTATTTCACAGGCTCAAGTGAATAATTAGTGCTTTAGGAATTTACTACAGAGTGGCATGGCTACAATATAAATGGAACAAATAGAATGAAGTTTATTGCCGTTATTACGTGGCGAAGCAAGATTCATACAAAAATGAGAACCCAAAGTAAAAAATGGTTGTTCATTATATCACGTAACATAAATATTATGTATATTTTTTTTTTAGTTTTTGGTGTTCACCATAAACAATAACGGTGTCTCGCAAACACACATTGCGATGAAGAACGTGACGTCACATGGCGATTGCGAATGTATAGCAGCAGTGGAAAGTATTGAAAACAGTGCATGTTCTAAACCTCCAAGACTCTGTCCCGATGCAAAGGAATGGAACAGCAACACGTGCTCATGTGAGTGCTCAAAGAAATGTCCGCCTCCTTATTTACGAGATCCTAACTCCTGCGTATGTGAATGTTTGCATTCGGATAGATCCTGTGGACAAGTAAAAAGAGGTCTAACTCTTCTTCCGCCCAGTGGATGCGAGTAAGTAAATTTATCTTGCACATGCGTGGCGCTACGATCACAATCTTTTTTTGAGAAATGGTATAGTGTATATATTAGTATAGTTTTATAAATGTACCTAGTTGACAGACTAAACTTCTGTCGTGCAAACATATATCATCATCAAGATTTAGATACATTAAGGTATTTTGAAATAGTAATCGTGTAATTAGAATATTCTGGCAACGATCGGAGATCACAGAACTAACAAGTTTTTTATCAATTCTTTTTTCCTAGGTGTGTAGCTTCCGGGGAGTGTGCAGACCCGGCATGCAAATCTGGATTCTTTGCGTCATCCCAATGTAAATGCATCGTCTACAATAAGTGAACATGACCGTCAGCCACATGGCACATGTATTACTTACAATGATTATATATTGCATGCTGGGTAATGTCATGAATTTGTTTTTGCGTATCTGTTGACCGACTTAATTACTGATTATTAGCGAATTGCTGTGTTATGTCTGTCATCGTTTAGCCTATTTGAAGTTTTGGACGGAACTTGGCTCAATGATTTGGAACTAATTTACCAATAACCGCC